GAATTGACTGTATATTTTGTGCAAACTTAGCAGCCAATTGCGCACAGCAGCTTCCCGCAAACAGTCGTAGATTGAATAACCACATTTTTAAAAATTATTATTATTATTTGAAGGGAATATTATTTAGGGTACTTATTATTACCCCCAGAAAAGCAATCCGCCAATCGACTAACAACCGGGTTCATACTTACTGCTAGGTGAATGGAGGCATGTGGAGGAAGAAAACTTGCCTAAAATTTCGACCTGCCCAGGAATCGAACGCAGGTCTCTCGTTTATGAAGCAAGTATTCTAACCACTAATCTACAGAACTCCACTGTCTAGATCAAGGAAGTACAACTTATGGTAGGGCTGCATTATGCCTTCGTAGAATAGTCACATGAGTTGCAAACTGGCTATCGCTGAGCTGGAGGCCTGTTGGCCAGGACCCAGAGAGAAACTCCCTTCTCTTTTCGAATAGCGACTCGAGTTTTTTAACATCCAACCTAACAGGAAGACAGGACCTCGGTTTAACATCTCAACTAAAGTTCAACACCTTTAACAGCACATCACTGCTCCATCACTGCAATGGAGTGCCGTAAGCTTAGAGTCACCGATGTGGGAGCGGAACCTTCTGACTCAAAGAAACAAGTGCGACTGACTGAGCCAGGCTGACACACAGTGACTGTAGAACTAATCTCCTTTTATAGGTTCACAATGCAGTTTTAGCTGGTTAGACTCCAGCACTTACCCCAAAGCACACTCTGGGGTCCTTTGGCCTTGGCTCTTGCCAATCTGGGTCTAATACTCTCCAGAATTAGGCAAGCAGGATACTTCCCTCCAGGGAGAGAGTGCATATTCCAGTCTGGTTTGGATACTCTTAAGCATGGTGATGCGCTCTAAACGCTACCCTGTGTGGAGGGCACTGCATAAGTGCAAGTTGTTGTTGATGGGTTTCCGCGTGTGTCAGACACCCGGCCGCCCCCACACAAAAGTTCCAAAGCAGCAAAATTGCCTGAATTTGTTCATAATAGAAACGTATTTCTTTTAAATCATGAAATTTACTTCTTCACAACACAGTTCCAGGCTTCGAGGAGCTGGTCTGTGGAACGGGACTGGAAGGGCATTCGCTGGGTGGAGAAAAGCTCGAGGAAATGCAAACAGTCAGCACGACTCGAAACTGCCCGAGTCGCAACCGGTGACGCAACTAATTGCTTGTGGAGCAATCCTGCTTCTGATTAGAATCTGTTTGGACACATTGACTGTTCGCACCGATTCCTGTGTCAAAATAAAGCTCAGCGAAGGCACACTGTGGGCTGTGATGCTGTGGCATGTAGACAGTAGGAGAGAACCTTTTTTTTGATATATCGTTGGGAGAAAATAAATGGAAATGTGGGAAGGACAGATGGCGTGTGGGGCATGGCAGCTGGTGTGAGGAAGTAAGACGAACGGAACACCTTAATCCTAAAGTGACTCCATCGCTCAATGATTCATCACACATCCTCACTCCTCCGCACTGTATCCGCACCGTACAAACCTAGAAATGTTTGAATAAAAGATAAATGTTAACGGCGTGTTTCAGACCCGTCAGAGTGTCAGCAGGTAAAGCAACAAAGTCTGGTTCAGTCATAATAACAATCCTCGCATTTGGTATAACGCCTTATCACGTCTTCGAGACGACTCAAAGCGCTTCACGAGATATACGGCAAAGTGAATTCACTGTGTTTTGTGGGTGAAACGCGGTGGCCAATTGTGCACAGCAGCGTCCCACAAACAGTCGTGGATTGAGTGACCAACTTATTATTATTATTTTACTGCTTGCAGATAGGCTCAGAGTGTGTTCAGAGCAGAATATTCTTGGTGTCAGGGGGAATGAGACAGCTTCTACTGTCCACAGCGGAGATAAATGTACCACCTGATTTCAGACCGAGAGCCCAAGTTTCAAAGCAAATTATCTCAGGTTGTAAAAATGCAGCTTTTCCTTTCACTGCCTACGCACATCTTTGGCAACGCTTGCCACATTGAGCTGGGGATGCCAAGGATATGGTCCACCCTCACCCCACGCCCTCCACAAGAAGGTCTGTTGGTTCCTTTAATGGGATAATAACACGCTGCGTCTTCTTTTCTGTAAAGGGTTTGATGCTTCCTGAGTCAAGCGTAAATTTATATCAACAAATAAATATATATATTTTAATTTAAACAAAAAAAATCAAAAACCTGTGTGCTGAGGCTAAAGAATGTATAGACAGACATGTTGGCTTGACATCTACTGGATTGTATCGTAAAGGAAGCGATTCAAAAGCTCGCAGTAAGAGTCAAGGCAATACAGTCAAACATTGACCACAGACCGAGAAAAACAGATGTACTAGAATTGCCCGTGGGTGTATTGTGGTTTATGAGGGGAAACTGGTGTACATCACATGCCCTGGCTTTCAGGAAGCACAGGATTGAGTGTGGAGATGAAAGCTCGTGAGACCTGAATGAAGTTGTAAACTGCATTATTAATTGACTTGTCATGGGAAGCACAAGAGAGTAGTTGTCCACGAATAGCTCGAATTGGACAACTTTAATCCTCAGGGTTTGGTGTCGAGAGCCTCATATCTGCAATAATTTTACTTTGGAAAAACTTAAGACTTCACCAAACTGAATAGGAAGGAAAGGACGAATGTTTAAAGAGGAATATATTCTTCTCACAGGTCAAGGTAGCTGGGAAGACAAAGGACATTTAACACCAAGAAAACCAAATAATAAAAGATAAATATGATTTGTGTTTTTTAATATTTTGTATCTCACAAGTGAGAGGAGCTGGGATCGATTCCTGGGCAGAGCGAAACATTGGGCAAGTTTCCTTATTCCACAGACCTTTCTTTACATGGCAGTAAGTAGGAACCCGGTTGTTAGTGGATTAGTGGATTGTTTTCTGGGGATAACAAACCCTCCAAATAAATTTAGTCACTCAATCTACAACTGTTTGTGGAACACTCCTGTGCAAAATTGGCAGCCGTGTTTCGCCCCAAAATACAGTCAATTCACTTTACAACATATTCTGTGAAGCGCTTTGAGACGTCTCAATGACACGACAAGGCACTATATCAAATGCAAGAATTCTTATTATAGCTGCAAGGAATTTGTGCAAATGAAGGAGCTCAGTAACCAGAATCAGAATAGATGAAATAAACATATAGATGCATCTGAAAATATAAAGGTGCAAAATAAAATCCAACTGCACATCTCAATGTGAACATTACCAAATTCAGGAAATTCAGGGCAACTTGTTGTTTGAGAGGATTGTGTGATACAGTGAGTTAAAAACATTTGAGTTTCACCTCTGTGGCCTGGATACAAGCCCAGACAGATGGATGACAGTCTTCTCTCTTAAACACTGAGATGGTGGCTACCATATCTGTGAGACGTTTATTATTCCTTGTTAAGTCTCAGCAAGGGCACTCCTTGCTGGATGAGCACTGATGTGGAAGTTACAGAAGTCGATGGTTTATTCAGCAGGCCCCCTGCTGATGGAAGCAAAAACAAAATCCTCGAGGAGGATTTCAGCATTCACTGTCAGCAGAACATGCTGCGGTTTCCTCTCTGCGAGCATTACCAGAACTGTAAATTACTCACTCATTCGCTGTGCGTCCAGCAGCCACATCTAAAATACTGTAACAGCATGAGAAGGTCTCCGGGATGATTTTAAAAGCGAATGCTAATGTATTATTTTTTCAGACATCTTGCATTTGCTGTACCTCTGAAAGCCTGGAACTCATGTGAAGGACCTGCTGTATGGCACTGATGTCAATACCCATAAAAGTGCTTTTGGACATTTTAATAGATTTCAGAGGAAGGATGGGGTTAATCTTTGACCCCATTTATGTCTGGAAACCGCAGTGTTAACCAAGTTGCATTTAAATTTCATCTCTTTTTCCAGCTAGTAGGGTCAGAATATATTTCAGTGTCTGCAAGCCCATGCGAACAGCATAGCTTTTGAAACAATAAACATGTGCACTTTCTACTTCACTTTGCAGTAAAATTAGGTTGCATTCATTTTTTTTAAAAGATACTCTATATGAATTATGTGCCGAGTTAGACTTGACCAGATTGCAAATTTCACCCCCCAAAAAAACTGCAAGAAAGAACGAGTGTGTGGAGGAAGGTTTTTAAACATAATAGAGCCATTGTACATTCTTTGGAAACACATCTCCTGAGATCAGAGGCAGTGAGATTGATAGAGCCAGAATACTTGCTGAATATAAACTCACGCAGGCCAATATTAAACACATTTCTAAGCCCATATTTGGTAATGTTGAAATCATTCGATGAAACGATGCAGGAAGGACTTGTGGTCATTTTTTTCTGAGGGGCAGCAATACCAAGGAATGCAATGCTTTTGTGAAAGGTCCATTGCAAATTCACAACTAACATGTCTATGAATGAATCACGCTGCTCTTGAAACTATCTGCTCCTTCCTATCTCTGTGACCTGCTAAATCATTACAGACCTGCCCACCCCGGTCACTCAGCGGACCTCGGCCTGCTCCATGTCGGCTGCCCGGCCCACTCTATCCTACCCCACCATCGTCGGTCAGGCTTTCAGCCACTCTACCCCTTTGCCTGGCTCCCTCCCTCCCCTGCGTCCTTCAAAGCCTGTCTCTTCAACCACGTGATCCAACCCCCAGCATATGTCCAAATCCCTGAGGTCCCAGCACCTTGGGACGTCCTCCCAACGTGAAAGATGCTGCACAATTGTAATTTGTTGTTGTTATTGTTGCTGCAGCTGATGGCAGGAGCAAAGGTCCACCTTAATTCATGTTGGCTCATTTACCCGTCCGCCCGGTGACTGCATGACAGACGGGAAAGAATTCTACCGTTTTGAGATCTGGGTTATATGAATTAAGAGAAGATACATAATGAATTCTAAGCAGGTGGGATAAATGACCATTTCAAATCTATCTGGTTGGTAATGAGGGTGAGAGATTGTTTCAGTGAATGTGTACCAATTGAGTTTAAAGTAAAACAGGACAAATCAGCAGTTTGTTACCATTTATTTCTCCAGAATGATACGGCCACATTAACATCCCGGAATGACGGTGTTGTACATTTTGTTTTCTCAATTGGAAAAAAGGTTGATATTCCATTTTGAAAGAATTACTGTACTGCACCTTCGGTTCAGCGCCTTGGGACGTCCTCCCGACGTGACTGGCACTATACAAATGTAATTTTGTTGTTGTACTGTAAAAAGTGAATACAGACAATACTTACATAACAGCAAGGCAGCTATTTATAACAGCAACTATCTTTACATGTATTGTACTATAAATGCCCTCTTCTAAATCGTACAGAGATCAGTTAAAGATTCAGACCAGGTCGTCAGAATTACTCAGGGGTTGAACAATAGCACTGTGACTAATTGTACTACAGTTAATGTAACTCCAACTGATCATAATATTAGTACTGGAGTCGACAAGACACATTTTAATAGTATTATCTTAAAGAAACCAAATGCAGGTCCTCGTTTTAGGCCCATAAAGACCATCCTGTGTCATCCTGGTTCAAGCTCTTCCTAACTAGATAAGTGATTATATCTATACTGAATTCACTGATCCTCCCAGCATGACCAAATAAATTGAACTATAAATTTCACTATTACACAATACCATATACTATAAACCTCAATACGCAACAGGACCTGTGATGAAGCATGATTAATATTCGATTTGTGTTAGAAGCTTCTCAAAAATATATTATTCAATACCTTAATTACCATCCTCTCTCATTTCAAACTTATGCAAGTGTTTACGGATGGTCAACATTTGTGCATAAGAATGGCTGGCCATTCACTGAGGTTCAGTAAATGACTCCATATATTTATCAAACAACATACAGTACATTTACAGAATGGCCAAATTTATTCCTAAGGTGCCAAAGTGTGATACATGAGGCAACCCTCTCTCTGGGGACATTCCATACTTAGGTATGAATTACTAGGAAAGCAAGGATTCCGGTACCTCCAACATTTGAGAACTAATTTAATACCTACTTGTCATAATCAAAGGAAAGGTAATGGTTTACCACATGCACTTTTCTGGATCGTGATTTCTCAATGCAAATGAAATTGATAACAACACCCTCAATAAAGCCTTTATAATCATAATTCTCTACAACCAAGGGATATCAAAAAATCAGTGGCCATCCTGAAAGGTAACTATGACAATTGCACTAAAGTAATATTCATGAAATGCTCTTCGTTTGATTGAAAAGTGTGATTTGGCTAAATGAGAGAAGTCAAATAGTTAAGAGCATATTTGTTCCTTCAGTTAACTGGATAATACCTCAATATTATTTTGTTATATATGCGTGGCCTTTTAAGTCCCCACACAAAGCAAAACCATTTGTTGAATTAAACCCACGGTTTGGATGCTTCATAAAATAGTTTGCCAGTAGCGAATTAGACTGAATGATTAATTGAAAAAATCCAAGAAGTTTTTTTTTAAATAAAAAAAATAAAAATCCACAGTACCAATTGACGCCTTACAGCAGTGAAATATTTATACTACACCCCATCAAAACTTCACTGAGCACCACTTATTAGTTCCAATGGAGTTATCACATTTTTAAGCAGTGGACTCTGATATTTCAGGTTCATCCACAGAAATGATCAGTGCTGAAACAACCTTTAATTACAACTGCTCAGCTCGGTATCCTGGCTCTCAGCATACATCAGCTCTGATGTGAAATGGTGGCTATGTCGGCGCTGTTGTTTTATAGACTGAAAAAACAATGCCATTCACAATGGTACGTTATGTTGTTCCTATTAATTTGAAACTCATTTATTTATCAGCGCATAAAACACACAGATTATAATAAGAGGCTATTCCCTCCAGGCTGCTACCTCCTTCCTCCAGAGTGTGTTCTGCTGATAAATGAATGTGTTCATACCCATTCACACACATACCGTTCTTTGCGGGTAGCCCAACAGAAAAGCAGTACTGTAGTCAGGGCACAGGGGAGGAAAATGGTCCAATTTTGCAGCAGTCTATCATTTCAGTTGCATTAAGTAGATCAGATTCCAGGGGCAGTGGCAACGTACGAGGGGAATAAAAATGGATCCAGACTATACCAAGCTAGAATTATTCTAACTATTAATGTTGATTATTGTCAGCTGCACTGATGTTTATCAAAAAGAATGACAATCAAGTAAGTCCATGATAATTTGCATAACAGGGTATTAAATGTCTTCTTTACTTAATGGTTAAACAGCTGTATTGCAAACTGCTTCCAAAAGCCATGTTTATTCACAGGAATTTGGGTTAGCAAGTCAGAAGTGTTTAGTATGTCCAACCACTCATCTCTGTAATCTATATTCCCCTATATTTTCTGTTTCGTCTTCAAATTTCAGTCACAATTATTTTACTAATAACTAACTAAACTCTTAAGTGAACATTTTCTTCTCGTGTGCTAGCGTCTGAAAGCTAGGATGTGAAGTGCGTGACTCCAGCATCCAGGAATGTAAAGTTTGTTTGTAATTATTTTGTTCAAGTATGGCCTATTATAGAAGGACGATTATGCAATATTCTGATTTAGAAACATGTAGGACCAGCAAGCTACAACAGAGGCTGTTGTGTTCAAATAAATTCCCTTTTCAATCACTGTAGGTTAACAAGTTATAAACAAATGAGAAGCTGCTTCGAGAACGCTAACCACATCCATCGCGTTCCCTGTATTCTAAACCAAAGGATCATCCACAGAATTGACAAAAAGAAGTGTTGAAAATCACAACTATCCCAGAGAAAATACATGTACGTCTCCTAACACCACAAATCCAACTGGAACAAACGCGCCTAGACTATTTTGATTACCTTTACAATGTCAGCACTATCAAATCAACACACTCACTGCTAGAATAATAGCTTTTATATGATCAGATCTAATTTAAATTGGTTTCTTTAAAACAGATAAGTTTTACTGGTGCAATATACAAAATGAATTTCCCTAACATCGCTCACTCACCAGAATTTAAGCACTGTACACAGCTTCACAATCTCTTGGCAATAGTGATTAAGAATGGCCGATCAGCAAGTAAGATCTGTGGCCAATTTGACTAAATTCTCAGTGGTAGCTCTAACTGTCAGTCAAAACGTTACTCAACGGAGATGCAATAACTCCTCAGAGAGAATTAGTAAAAGCCTTGTCCTCTTTGCTTCGGATTCAATGGCAGATTTTTGTTGTACTAATCTGACTCAAAGCAAAGATTATTAGTAGTAGTTTGATGGCACAGGCAGGAAGTCTCACAGTGACACTGTGCATGTATGGCCTCTTCCTCCTCAAGTTTGGTTTTATGCCCTATAACCATCCAGCTTATAAAAGTTGGCTTAAGTATTACTGCGATAGGCTGGCTGTCAGTATGATAACATATAGACAAAATTTTCTTGGAAGGAGATCTAAATTGAAGTTTCACCTGGAGAGTAAATTTAATTTGTGTTTCCCAAAATTGTGGAATGTAATGAATGATGAAGTGAAACGTTTAGCTTATTACTTGGTGTGGTTTCTATGCTGAAACCCCAAGTCCATTTTTAACTATCAGCTCCAGAGCTGTCTTTGTCCTCAAAGTACCAGTTCTTCCCCAGCCCCTCTAGCCTCACCCCCCACGTGTGAAGAGCAAGCTATGTGCAGATAAGGATGAAGCAAAAATATTTTTCTACTGAGCTTGTGTACTGAGCCCCTTTTTCTTGGCAACACAAAATGTGTTATGGCTTCTATGGGCATGCAATGCATATTTACATATGTTCTCTGAAATACATTTAAGCCATGCATATGAAAGCAATGCCTGGAGTGTAACAAACAAGGAATGTAATTAGAACAGAACAGCTAAATGATAAAACATTGGCGTTTTTAAGACTGAAAATGTAGGTGGCTACAAGCTGTTCTTTTCAGCTGTTAATATCACAACGGGCAAACCGGAGCCTGTCTGTTTTAAAAAGTGAGGTTTGCAGCACCTCAACCAAATACAATTAAACCTTCAACAAGAAGGAATGGCCATTTTAATAATTTTAATTAAACATGTTTTCACATAAGCTCTTCTGCAAGAAAACAATTGTGTGCTTTGTGAATCCAGAGGGAAAACGGCCATCAACCATGCAGAACCCCACGCTGTATCCTTTAGGCTAGTAAGACTTACTAATTGCAGGAAAAGTCACCCAAATTAATTGCTTTTCACTAAGAGCTCAGGGAGAAAAACAAATAGTAGTCATTTGTCCCTCATGTTCAGTGGACCCGTTAACATGATTAGCACTTCAGGAGGATTTCAAACACAGAAATAAGTAGGTTTTTCAAACTCCGTTCAGGTTATTCCATAAACATGAATCTCGAAATTGAGATTACAACATCCAAGTGCTAGATTTTATAGTTCCCGGAGTAATTATTACTTAAGCAGCCAAGAGTGCAATCCCTCTAGATTTATGCATGTAAAATTTCCAGAACTCATCTTATGGTTGATGCTCTGTTTAAAAAGCAAAGTTACATATTAGAATATGTGGGATGTAATAAAATTCTTCTGGTCCTGCCTTCAATAGGGTAACTCCACCTCAGTTACCTCACATTTTCATAACACATAGACTGCACCCAGGAAAATATACAACTAACAAAATCACACAATTGGGAGCTTCACGTGAATGGGGCATTCGGCAGCACTTCTTCAGAACAAACTGCTTCCTCATCGCCTTAGGATTAATTGTTCCCATTATCTGACCGACAGGCATGACATTATATATATGCTTTTTGTTTTGCTAAAGTTGGAAGTGATCCATACATCACAAACACTTTTTCAATATCAATAACATCACATTGTTAAAAGGTATTTGCACATTTTTTTCTACAGTGAACACAGTTTCAGTTTCTAGTGCACACACAAATATCAGCTGTTTGCCGCACGCACAAGAGCTCTATCCTGGAACAATAAATACAAAAAAACAACCTACAGTGCATTTTCCGAACTGAAGTTTTATCCTGAATCCAGGGAATACTCTGTAAACTGGCAAGGTGTAGTATACAGGGGCTCACATCTGGTTGTTGTAAGCATAGTTAGGAGTGTCTGAGTATTGTGGGTTCTGCATGGTTCCCTGCACAGCACCCACAGCTGCTTGTTGGGCTGCCTCCTGGACATGTGGGTTCTTCCACGCTCCTGTTGTCCATTCCTCCTGAGCTTTGCTCATGCTCCCTCCACTGCCGCGATAATACTTATGAACCTGAGAGAGAGAAAGGGAAAGTTTAAATGATACACCAAAAAATACTTAAGAACATACAAAATGCTAGACATTAAAAAGACCAAGGTCCATCTAGTTCGCCTTCTACTTTACTGGCGGTCGCGTGTATGTCCCAAACTCCCTGTGTACTGTATCCCATAATGTTATTTCCTAAAAGAAAACTATCTAATCTGTGTTTGAAAGACTCAACACTTCCTGCTTCAACTGTCTCCCACAGGTTTACTATTCGCTCACTGAAATAGAGGTTGCATTGATTAATTCTGAATTTACTCCCTTCAATTGCAGGCCGTATCCTCTGGTTTTACTATTTTTGACTAATTGGACCATCAAAGCATGAGAGCCTGACAACAAATCTGTTATTAAAATAACTTAAAAATCATTTAAAATTGAAATGACTATAGATATCCTCAACGTTTATCCCATACGTTTCTCCACATGATAAGTTCACTTACATCAGATTAGAATGCTAGCCAGCTATGAAAAAATTAACATTAAGGCATAAACCGTTGTACACTGTTAATTCCAAATTGAAACTGAGGCAAGTGCAGCAACACCTGAAGGAATTTGGTGCAGTTATCGTACATCCATCTATATCAAACATGCCGCAGCTCATTAACTACAAGCAAATGGCATCATATTTCTAGAGCAAAGAAAACACAGGCAGAGCTCAGAACAAGCAGTTTTAGAGAAGGTGAACTTTACACTAAAAATTGATTATGGGGTCTGGCATTTGTTTACACTGGCAATGTACAGTAATGGTGTATTAATTGATTCCAAAATGTGGCAGCTGTACTCATTAGGAGCTCAGCGCTGTACAATTACTCTTATACTATCATTTGTTACGCTGAAACGAAACATTTTTTGAATGCAAAACCACTACATTATATATTGCATTTAATATCAAACTTCAATCAATAAGTATTGCTCCTCAATGAATATTTCGTGCAGCTATTTCATAGCAGTATAGACAGTGGATTCTAGACACTTCTATAAATCTATTAAAATAAGAATGATTCTGTGAAAGAAAAGAAGAGAAATCTTTCCAAGCATGGTCAAAGTGATTTATAATGATTTCTGGACTGCTCAGAAAATTAAAATTATAATAATACTTATATTTGATAAAGCACCTGATATTAATAATATTTCCATTGATATAGCACCTTATCACAGCTTCGAGACATTTCAAAGCACTTCACAGAATATATAATGTATTTTGTGGCCGAAACGTGGCAGCCAATTGCGAACAGCAGCATCTCACAAGCAGTCGTGGATTGAGTGACCAGATTATTATTTTTTATTACGATGTTGAGATATACTGTAAAGTGGATTGACAAATAAATAAAGTTCCCTTATTTACTTAGAAAATCTCACTCCGTTGCCCTGTGAGGATTTAGTTGCGAACCATAGCATGAGAGTGGCTGAATCGTATTGTGCTTACCTTGGTCAGAGCAATGAAGGACATCACAGCCATAGCTGTAAACATCAACGTGGGGATCAGCATCACAACTGCTGAGCCAACGTTTGTTCCAAAGAAGGAAATCGTAGCAATCCAGCCACTGTTAGGGAGAAATGACATCCATCAGCTGAAATCTGCGCACGTGTGTGTGTATGTTAAGATTTATTCACAATAATTACACGAGAAGTTAAAATGGCTAAAGCCTCAGGAAACTCAAACGTTTGTAAATACTGTATGTTGAATACAAACTGGCTTCATTGTAAATGACTGACCACAGTTTCTGCCTCTGTGAGTTAGTTTGCAAGCTTTCATTTCAAATACAGTAAAAATCCTTTTGAATCCAGAGAGAAATCCTCCTGGGAAAGGGAGGTTTCACTTGCTGAGGGATATCTTCTTGTGGCTGAGCAAGCTCCAAGGTAAAGTGCTTGGTAACATACATTTGGAATCAAATGGATCCGATCCTTTATTGTGGTTTCTGTAGTCTGATACTTGAGTAGGCTCTCCGCAGTTCTCCATAGAACTCCATCCCACAGTCCCTCCGCCTCGCCTCTTCTCTTGCTTCCTTCAAGACCCGTCTCAAAACTCTCCTCTTCGATCGTGCTTTCAGTCACCCTCCTAACCCTACCCTCCCCGTCCTCCACCCCTTCTAATCCCTTCTTATCCCACCCACCAGCTCGGGTGCGGATCCCTGACTGTCCAGCGCCTTGGGACTTCCTCCTGACGACAGTATCATCATCCATGGTTACACACGTCACCTTGCTCAACCAGTCCAGAACATTGGCGTCTTGTTTGACCCTCAACTATTTTTTCTACCCCACAACTGCGCCTTGACCTGTTCTGCCTGAACTCCACCTCTGCAACATCACCCGACTCCGCCACTGTCTTACATCGCAGGCCGCCAAAACTTTCATAAACGCCTTCATTACATCGAGGCTCAACTATACAAACTCATTGCTTGTCGGCCTCCCCAACTCCTCCCTCCACAGGCTGCAGATCATCCAGATCTGCAGCCCATGTCCTCTCCTGCACCAGGCTCCGTGACCCTATCACCCCCATCCTCACCTGATTCCACTGGTTTCCCATCACACAGAGGATACAGTTCCAGATCCTGGTCCTCACCTTCAAAGTCCTCCATGGTCTTGCTCCCCGCAACCTATGCGACTTCCTAACCGCCTACCATCCTGTTCGCTCCCTCCGCTCAGTGGGCTCCGGCCTGCTTCACATCCCCCGCCTCGCTCACCGCACTATTGGCGGGCGGGCTTTCTGCCACTCTGCCCCCACCCTCTAGAACTCCATCCTGCAGTCCCTCCACCTCGCCCCCTCCCTTGCCTCCTTCAAGACCCACCTCAAGACACTCCACTTCAACCATGCTTTTGATCTCCCTGCTTCCCCCCCTGCCCTCCACCCTCCCTGACCCCAGCTCAGGTGCGAAATTCTATCTGTCCAGCGCCTTGGGACGTCCTCCCGACGTGAAAGATGCTACACAAATGTCATTTGTTGCTGTTGTTCCCCAAGGAGAGGTCAGCACCTGGAGAGACATGTCCATGTATTGCAAGGTATGTGGAGATGAGGGAGTTCTCTCAGGAATTTGGTGGGGCTTATTTTGCTCCTTGCTGTCATAGTATCTATAACATCAAATCCTCCAACTTCCCAAACATCAACTGACAAGCCGAGCGCTGGCAACTAAAGATGTACTCAAACATTAACCTCTCCCCCCGTTCCTGAGTGGCAAAATGCTCCGAAACAAGTAGATGTTCGGCCTTTTTTCAACTGAGAACAGATCAACAATTAATGTGCAACCAAGCATGCTGCTCACACAACAAACAACGTCAGATTTGAAGCAACTTTGCTTGCAGCTGATTTAGGTTTGCGTGTAGAGAATTATTCATAGGATTGAGGAGAATATGGCAAGGAAAGCCAATTGCTTATCTTTGTTACAGTGACATCATTAACATATGGTATATTCATTTTTTCAGCTTTGAACAAGAAGTTTAAGATGAATTTTTGATCTAGCAAAAATACAAAGTAATGGCACATCTGATAGATCACTGGTTTTCTTTTGTGTTTCAAGCACTTTAGCAGGTTCTAAAAAAAAATCTAGTTTTTTTTGGGGGGAGTGGGAGTGCTGCTCTCCTAGCCATATTGTTTGGTGGTCTTATCAACACAATTGCAAAAACCTTGGCTCTTAATTGTCTGATTTATAGTCACTATTGTTAATGTGCCCTGAAATACCCCATCTTTTCAATGACAAATCGAAACCTTAGCTTGAGAAGGGAGGAGTAACAACACAACAGCAAAACAGAATTGAAAACAGCCCAAAATAACACCAAATAAAAGGTTATTGTAACCAGCCAATGTGCAAATCAACCCGTGTTAATTTGCATTTGACTATTTCTCTAAGTCTGTCATCAACACCTGCCTCAGTTTCAGAGATCAGAATGTGATCAGGTTGTGATAAATTAGATCATTATTTGGGGAGGATAAGTTTGCAGGGCTACGGGGACAGAGCATGGGAGTGGGATTGATTTGGATAGCTCTTTTAAAAGAGCCGGCACAGACCTGATGGGCCCAATGGCCTCCTTCTGTGCTGTATAATTCTATGATTCTATGAAATACTCATTAAAGCTGCTCAACTCCATCAAGGTTCATTTTCAGAAAAAGATTTTGATTGTTACAGGCAAGGAGAAAACTGGCAAAGGCATTGCTGCTTTTGTGTTTACACTGGAATTTTGATTTCAGCAATTGTGAATAATTACATTTAGTATACAACACAAGATTCCATTTATAAAGCGCCTTTCACGTCAGGAGGACGTCCCAAGGCGCTGCACAGTTGGGTCAGGACCTGAGCAGGGGGAAATGGTCAGGGTGAGGGGAGGGAAGGGAGGGAGCGAGGAGGGGGGAAATGGTCAGGGTGAGGGGAGGGAAGGGAGGGAGCGAGGAGGGGGGAAATGGTCAGGGTGAGGGGAGGGAAGGGAGGGAGCGAGGAGGGGGGAAATGGACAGGGTGAGGGGAGGGAAGGGAGGGAGCGAGGAGGGGGTAGAGAGTCGAGAGGGGAGCTGAAGACTCGGTCAAAGAGAAAGGTTTTGAGACCGGCCTTGAAGGAGGAAAGGGAGGAGGCGGCGAAGGCACTGGGGGATGGAGTTCCAGAGCCTGGGGGCTGAGAGGCTGAAGGCCCGACCACCGATGGTAGGGCGATTGGGGCGGGGGACGTGGAGCCGGAGGAACGGAGGGTACGGGCAGGTAGGTAGGGGGATAGTAGGTCGGAGAGGTAGGAGGGAGCGAGGCCGTGAATGGCCTTATAGGTGAGGATGAGGATCTTGAAATCAATCCTCTGGGGATGGGGAGCCAGTGGAGGCGAGCGAGGGTGGGAGTGATGTGGTCCCGAAGCCTGGTGCGGGACAGTACACGAGCTGCAGAGTTCTGAATGACCTGCAGCTTGTGGAGGGAGGTGGCGGGAAGGCCGGCGAGGAGAGAGTTCCCATAGTCCAGCCTTGAGGTGACAAAGGCGTGGACCAGGGTTTTAGCAGCGTGAGGGGTGAGGTAGTGCCGTAGTCTGGCGATGTTCCACTACCCACTCATATATATGTAGATATAGATATAGATCCCATAAGTATTTTAAAAAAACATACTGAAAATAGATAAAATAAATATATTTCCTACCATTTGAGCTGCTTATCATGCAAATAAAATTAACTGCTGATTGGAGATAAGATAGACACCAAGGCATCTTCCAGATTATTTTGTCTCACCTTCTGAAGACATTCTAAACTGAAATGTCAGAACAAAGTTACATATTGTACAGCTTTGCATGAATAGCCACCTTCATTTGGACAGCCTTGTGTGGAAAGTACAGGCTTGTGATCAGAACTGTGGGAGTACAGAAGGTGTCTGTTTGAGGCTTGCTTGCCTGCACTACCTAAACAGTTTTTCTGGCAGGTTGAGATTGTTTTGTTTTAATGGAGAATGCCTTACATTTGAAGTGCCTTACATTTCTAATTAAGGATAGGTCCAAGTTTGTGAGAACCTATCAACAGGAAGAAAAGTGAGTTTACTCCAATCAAATGAATATGAATTCACAAGGCGAACACAGAACAAATGCTAATTAATGCATCAAGGGTTAGTTGGAACTCTCAGCTTTATTTATAAGCTCAGAAATGCAACTTGTATTTTTAATGAACCACAGATCCTGTATATTGTATTTTAATTGTGAGAACCGTTGCTAACTATGGATGTCTTACATAAAAATTGCTTATATTAACGTCATGATTAGTTCTTTGGTTTGGACAAGACAATGCAAGACACTAAAACAACAACAATTATATAGCGGCCTTCGTGCGGGGTAGCGTCCTGGAGCACTTCACAGTGGCGGAGTCTGACAACGAGCGAGGGGGAGGAGGAGTGGGGAGGTGACCATAAGCACGATCAAAAAGCAAGGTCTTTATGCAGGATTTAAAGGTGGGGAGGGAGGGGCGAGGCGGAGGGATTGAGGGAGAGAGTTCTAGAGCTTCAGGGCCTAGTGGCTGAAGGCACGGCCACTGATGGCGGAAAGCACGAAAAGGAAAGCAACACATAAAATCCAAAAAGCTACTCCAAGAGCGAACCGCTGGGAACCATAAAACCATTCAAAACAATGCAATCAAATATCAGTTCATTTCACAGAAATGGGTGGAGTTGCTTGATTTTTCAACTATTTCCAAAGGGGATTATGCCTTTTCAAATACATTTTTTTGACTCTACGCTCCACACTGACTGCATGAAGAAGATAAGTAATGCAATCGGGGAATAAGAGGGACCGCTATTCCTTTCAGAATATTTGAACCAGGAACTATGATATTTTAGAGTATGATAAACGTGACAAGAATATTCCAAACTTCAGCTGCAAATCTGGCAGTCATATCTGCTGCCAACTATTGAAACCAATGGCTGTCGTTGGACATTTTGTTCCAGATCCATAGGGTCCATTGACTCACATGAAACATCCAAGTGGTTGGTTAAATAGTAGTACATGTCAGAAATGTTTAAAAACTTTAGCATTGAAAATTTTAGGCTTTGTTCTTACCATACTCCCCAGCCAGGGATTCCCACTGCCTGAATAACGCTGATCACCATCTGGGCCATAAATATGAAGAAAAATGCCATAAAGTTGAACGAACTGTCTGACCTACAGTGAGAATATAGAACATGAGGCAATTTTAGTCACCGACCATTTGTTAGTTCAGCTTGCTTTATAATGAAATGTCATAGGTGCATCCAACTATAAAATGAGGTTGGATCAAAATGTTCTCCACAAAATAAGGACATTTCAAATTTGAAACCGTGTCAGTGTATTCAATGAAAAGTGTATTCACATTCTCCTCAAAAGGCTATGCTGTGAGCTGCAGCTATGCTAAGATTTTACCATGTCATACCGACGACATCTGACTGTTCAGCGCTTTGGGACGTCCTCCCGACGTGAATGGTGCTCTATAAATGTAATTTTGTTGTTGCTGTTGATGTGCTTATCATAATGCAAATGATTTGGTGAAGAATTCAACATCATATAGGGTAGAGCTCCAGAGTTTACTGGGGAAGAACATTGCAGAATCCTATTTACAGTTGCCAACATCTCATTTTGTTCTGTAAGGGAACAGATTCTTAATCTTTATAGGAGTAAACAAGCAGCTTGAAATTCCATTGAAGAGTGTTCGGGCTTATCACTGTGAGAAGGAACCAGAATATAGTAATGTGGTTGCATGCTTCATTAGAAGGGTGTGATGGAGACCAATGTGAAAACAATTAACTGGGCATAAAGAACATTAAAAGACAAAACCATGGACAAGGCTCATCGTATACAAAAATGTGTGACAGAATTGTATGTAGATTACAAGTTTCAATGGGGAAAGAGACATTTTTCAGACCTTTTGAATCCTTTTTTTTAACAAAAGAATCCAGATAGTTAAACCAAGTCAATGATTAGAGACCATCAACAAAGATGAACTGAAGGGTAGTCTATTTTTAAGATTAAAATATTATAGATTATCTTTTTCACCTACCTTGCTTCACAGGATAGCACACCTATGGACAGTATTTTATTCTACACTTTTATTCCTAAAGAGAACCCTAAAAGCCTAATTATTGTCACACCATTCCACTTATCACTGGCAAACTACTGATAACAGAAATTCAGCATTAAATCACAAAGATAGCTCATCTTACCACTCTAATTCACATATGCATTTCTCTCTCCCTAAAATTTAAAGATTGTAATAGAATTTGAAATTAAGACAGATCTGCTAGACCAAGCCTTTTTGAAGCAGAATCATGTGAATGGGAAGCATCTAGTGGAATACTGCACATATTCCAACATGTTCACAGGAGCTTCACATCACATGGGATCTTCTGTAGGGTTGGACACACCAACCTTCAAAGACCTTAACTATGTAATAAAGTGCAATGGCCTTTGACTCATGTTCGATAGTTATCCAGGATATGAAAATGGGAAAAAATCCCAATCTTTCAGAATTATGAATCCATACTTTGAATTCAATGCTCATTGCCAAAGGGAAAAAAACTCGCCAGACTTGTTGGGCTTTCTTCATTCTTTGAATCCAAGAATCCTCGATGCACATATTTCAGAATCAGCAGGTTATCTTGCGGGAGGGAAGATTCAGTGAGCAATTCCCGCTTAAGTCTGTCACAGGTTATGCTGCTGGAGTCACTGAGCATATGAGTTCTCTCATTCCACACTATATAACAAGGCAGCTTTACCCACCGGCAATTAGTTTAATTTAACCAAGTGATAGAAACAAAAGGTACTCCCTCTGGAGATTAGAGGGGATCGTAAACTGGGAATGCATCTGTTAAAGATGTGCACATTCCAAGTATGAAACTCTCGCCTACAAAGTAGAATGCGTACGTCTTTCTTTACTTTGTAGTCTCTGAACTTTACCGGAGAGTGATCAAACAATGACCTATGAAAAAGAGGCCCTGGCAGGGAAGATGGAAATCCTCTACGAAAAAGAGTGATCAAAGAAGATTCGATTCTGATGCCTCCATTCAATATTGCCCTATAGAAGTATGCAGTGGTTTCCCTGCTTAAATTTGCAGATGGCACCAAGTTAGAGATATTGTGGAATCAGAGAAGGCAGCAAATGTCTTCCAAAGAGAGCTTTTACATAAAGTTACAGAGTGAAACAGCACAGAAACAAGTCTTTTGGCCCGACTAGTCTGTGCCAGTGTTTATAGTCCACACAAGTCCCCACCCCACCTATTCCCCTCTCCCTCATGTGTGCATCAAGTTTTCTCTTAAATATATTGATGCTATTTGCTTCAACCACAGCTTCTTAAGACATCAACTGGAAAGAATCTGCTAGTGAAGCTTGCAGTCTTCCAGCTATACTCCAGCTAAATAAGGAGGTGTTCTATGATACTGCATCTAGTTCATCTAAAGAAAATCCACAGGCAACGAGATAAACTTGGGATTTCAGCACATTAACAAGCCGTGCAGCCCACTGTTCGGCGAAATCATCCCAATTGATCTGGCAACAAATAATAATCCTTACATTTGGTATAGCGCCTTTCATTCCGGGAGGACATCTCAAAGTGTTTCATAGGATGCACAGCACCACAACTGGTGAAGTCAGTGTAGTTTGACTCAGGTGTAAAATGATTGACTCCACAGATATGAAGATTTTTTTTTAAAGAACGTTGAGGTAAAAATTAACTGGACAGAGAAGTGAAGTAATTCAGGACTGCAGCTGAACATTTAATCTGTGAGAGAATGCAATTGACAAGTGTAAGTGTGAAGTTGCCCTTATTTCAGTGCAGAATGTGATGGATAACTTGGGCAATGTGGTGGCTTGTGCTTTATAAATCTTTAAAAGGGAAAACTGATGCCAATCTCCCCTCTGCTGGTACTGAAACTCTCCGGTGCATGGAGGATGCAGAACACAGAATTAATATTCAATACACAGTCTCCAATTGCAGTACAATCACACTCAGCTGGATTTTCAGATAGAGCACTCTGTAGCAGTGCTCTATGGGGGAGTTTGGAAGAGAGAGAAACTGCAAGAATCAATTTCATCTAGCAGGTTCTGTTGGCAATTACAGCATGGCACTCACAATCCCACCCTCACAGCTAAGAGAAATGAAATAGCATTTATAGACAGATGGGAAACAAAAGATGAGCAAAGATGAGAATTTTGAAACACTGCCTAGTATCCAAAACAATGCTTCATTTTAAAATTGATGCACGCTTTGGTGCCTTTACATGTTTTCTTCTATTTGTTTTCCACAGTGAAAACCTGCATTCGAATTGGGATATCTGGTGGCAAAATTGGAGTGGATTTGTCAGCAATTCTGACAACTCCAAATTCCATCATGGAAACATAATCCTTGGTCAAAGAAATAATCTGAATGTGTGACAAAAGATAAGCAAAATGTGATTTGGTTAATAGCGAACTTGTGTATTCTCAGTGAGACTTTGAGAAGACGTGAAAAGCGCTATATCAAATGCAAGGATTATTATTATTATTATTAAGTAAACTGTGAGGAAAAAAAGCACACAGCAATAATGTTAGACATGCATCTGAAGCCCCACTAACATGGAGGTTTCATCAATGAGTGTAGAAAAAGGGCACTAGTACAAAGTAATTTCTTGGCTAACTACCATGATAACAATTTTCCACTCTTACTAAGTTCCATTTTATATGGGTAATTTTCAAAATATTATTCAAAATGCTTTTGAGCTTTTTCTATAACACAATTAAATGGTTTTAACAGCAGCTCAACAATCCCGTCTCACTCATTGCTTTTGTTGAACCTCCAACCTCAACTGAAGTTCACTAGTTCACCCCTTGAAATGCATGGTTTAGTGTGGATCCACGTGTAATTTATTTTCACCATCTATCCAAATAATAGATGAACCAATTTAGTCTAAAGCATGAAGTCCATGCTTAATGCAAAGTTTCATATGTCAAATTTGTGTGATGCACTGCTTCAGTCATGAAACTCCCTCCTCTGAAAGGCAATGTCTGGTGACTGTGGATGATTCTTCCATCCTCTAAAATCCTGTAAAACAGCAGCTTCTGGCATGAGCCATTGACAGAATGATTGTTGAAAATGCAACTTTGACTGAAGGCTTTAATTTTCAAAGTTCAGCACAGAAGATGGTTATAAATCAGGTTTTGATTTAAACTCAGTCACCTCAGTGTAAAGTATGTATTGGATTTTATCCTATTCCTGCCATTAAGATTATTACAATAATTCAGTTATGAAAAAGGAAACATGCCAATTGCTTCTAAATAAACTGAAAGGGCTTGACACAATAAAGTGAGCTTCGGTCAGTTGCCGGAGCTCCTGCGTGTGAAAGACTAGTATTTAAGCTTTTTTTTAAAATATAAAGTCCTAACGCGACATCCATGTGAATGGGGCTGAGGAAGCGAGTGACAGTTGAGACAGCACTTACCTGAAGGCCTTGTAGATTGGTCTAAACCAGCAAACGTAAGAGCAGGGAGTGAAAAGAATCAGCCAGAGAAAGGCTAGTCCAAAGTTGACAGCTCCACCTCCTCCAATCAACCAAGCTAGGCAGCCAACCAGATTCACTGCGAGCGTGATGCTGTTCACTGCAATAAAGTATCAGGTAGCACACAACTGCATGACTGACTCGCGTTTTGCAGGCCACCCTTTACACGGAGGTCAACACTTCCCTAACACACGCAGTTCGTTAATTACACCGGTTGTGACCAAACCCAAATTTCCTTACTCCAGCGCCTTGGGACATCCTCCCGATGCGAAAGGTGCTATCCAAACAGGATTGTAATTTCTCGCCTACAAAATGTAATCGAATCACTTTACTGTGTATCCTGTGAAGCGGTTTGAGACGGCTCAAAGACGTGATAAGGCGCTGTATCAAATACGAGGATTATTATTATTAATGTGTTGTTGTTACTCCTAAGATCCAATTATTAAAATGGCTAAAATCTCAACTCCTAGTCAGATCTGTGCGCTTTAACTACTTGCTAAATAAACTCGCTGAGCCAGAGTGCTTTTCAGTATATGAGGATTTTTGATTGTGAATGTAGTCACAGGCCTAGTTACATTGTAAGCATTTCATCATTGAAACTTTTCACTAGCAATACTGCACAAACAGTCTTTTGGAAGCTTATTCATAGAATTCAGATAATACTGCAAATATAAATGGTCTACACTTGTGTAGCTTCCCTAATTTTATGTTAAAAGATTCAACACTAAAACATGTGGAACATGTTAATAATCATGCACAAAGTAAAACGCCTGCTTATGATATTTGTGACTATAAAACAATAATTCTACTCACAATAATATATCGAAAACGAGTTCCTAAATATATTTTTAATTTAAGAAATCTGAATGCAATTTTTTTAATTATAGGGAACATTGCGTACAATGATTCCCTGTATTTGTCAATGTTGTTGATGTAACTGGACCGTTGAAGATTAAATTCACACTTGTGATACGTTTAGTCAATCTCTAGAACCCCTTTAGGCCTAATGTTTATATTGCTACTGGAAGCTTTTCTCTCTTTGTACATTAGTACAGACACTTATTTAAATATCAATGATGTTTCTTGTGATTACATAATACAATATTGTGCCATTCATGTTGGGAGGAAGTATCAAAGCATCTTACACAACTACCTGGGCTGAAGGGTGAAGGTGGGGAGGGGAGAAGCTCTGAAGTCCATTTCCCCCATCACACCAGTCTTTGCTAAGCCCCACTTGCTCCCTACTACAGAACAGGTCGATTTCAACATCTTCACACTCCTCTGCCAACCCCCTGCCACCTCTACCTTTCCATCCTGCTTATTCTCACTCCACCATTAGTCACCTCTGATTGGATGGCTCTGACCTCTTGCTTGTCCCTCGTCCCCTCTGCTCCACCATCGACAACTGTGCTTTCAGCCACTACGCCCCAAATCTTTGGAGCTCTCTCCTTCAACCACTCCACTTTGCCCCTTCCTTTTCCAGATCTCATCTGAAGACATTCCTGTTCGACTGTGCTTATGGTCACCTTCCCCATCTCCCTCGGTGTCAGGCTCTGCCACTGTTAAGCGCTCCGAGATGCTTCTCTGTGTGAAGGGCGCTATACAAATGCAAGTTGTTTTTGCCTGCCACTCGGACTTTGAGTAAATCTTATTAAATGTTACGGTTCTAACTGACATGACTTATGTGAGTTTTACTGTATTAGTTTTACTATGTATACATTTAAATATACATTATACAATAAACCTTCCCAATCTGGAGGAAAACTTTCAATAGTCTGTGAAATATAATGCATTTAAGTTCAGTACGGTTTACATTTATTTCCAAAGGGAATTTAAACGCTGAAACTGCAATGTGCTTTGCTTCTAACCTCATCTCTTGGGTCCAATGAAAAAACACTTTTCTGTTGAAGCAACTGTAGCTATACCTATAAAATTAAATGAGCATAAAACATTATGGCAGGACAGAAGGCAATGAGAAGGAATATTGTGTTAGCTTGATGACATTCTTGTATCTCTGCAGTATATACTGCAGTTCATCCCCAAGAACAGCAATGAAACTTTAAATCATAAATTGCTGGAATGAAGATTAAGCACTGACTCAGTTATCTGGAGCTCACTCAGTTCACTTATCAATGTCCTGTGTATTCAGATTGCAAGTGGGCAGAGCAGAAACTACTGCATGCTTCAGAGGCAAATAAATCTTTTAGTCACTGGAACAAGATGGTATCAAGCTAACCAGGAAAAAACGAGATCAGGTGAAATCTGGAGAGAGATTGAACTCAAAGATCAGTTCACTTCCTATTTTTGTAGGACTATTCTATAGAATACACAGTGCAACATTTAAAGGTACTTGGGCACCAGATCCCCAACTACCTAGTGGATGAAGACATTAACAAGAGCACAATTTAGCCAAACAAACCAGAAAGCTGTAGGAAGCATCCCCTCGGTCTGTGTTGTTAACTCATCTCACCTTTCAGCACAATGTAGTCATACCTATGATTCTACAACAAATACTCTTGTTCTATAATGTGCCAAATGAAAATGTACATCCCATTTTTGCAAGTAAAGTATTTAATAAGGTTTATATTGAAGCCATTCAAAGTGCCGGACCTAATTCACAATTCATTCTGGGATCGAGCAGAGTAGAAATTATTACAATCTTCAAATGTAAATAACTGTGTAGTCACTTAGTTAAATTTTAATAATTTAACTAATTTTGACTACATGTCTGTGCACATACTGGCTCAGGATCCTGTGATTCCAAAGCTATTGCAGCATCAGGCCATGAAAATACCGTACAACAGCAACATCCAGTGGTGGAAATTCAGTATTTCAACTTGTCCTGTCTACACCTCACGATTCAGGCTTTTTGAGACATGGCAATGGAAGCAAGTCAGAACAACAAACAAAATGCTCTCCTTTCAAAATGTCCCCCACTACATTGCACATAGATATTCTGTACTGCACACTGCTCTACGTGCCCTGCTGTTTTCTTGTTTATAAGGATCACTAGTTGGCTCAAAATTTAAAGTGGGTTTCGAAATTGTTCACCAATCCATGACATCCAGCTGTGCCAGATGCCAACTCCTAGTCAGGTTTGTGTGGTTTAACTGCTCACTAAATAACCTCGCTGAGCCGCAGTGCTCTTCATTAATTGTACTGAAACAAAAGGGGTTGTAACAATGTTTGTTAAAAGTGTGTTATAAAGAGGCCGGCCCACAGCAGACCTCGAATCCATTCACATTCCCGTAATGTGGTACTTACGCATCCAAAGGTAGTAAAGGCGTTTTGCCAGAGTCCGATGCTGCTCAGGAATCTCATTAAAATCCTGGTAAAAGCAGGGCTTCAATGGAATGAACTTTGGCAGAGGTGGAAAATTGTTTTCTATAAATTAAATAGAAACATTCAGACTGTAGATTACTGTAAAATCATCAGAACTCCATCCGTTATTTCTTACTCCAATTTGCTTCAGAAAATGTATTACCAGCAAAGGAACATGTCCACATTTTTTTTTGCAATCCAGAAATACTAAGATGAATCTGAATACCCACCAACATGCATCAGGTAATTGATAAGTGCTCCAGGACGCTACCCGCATGAAGGGTGCTATATAGATGCAAATTGCTATTGATAAATCTGGTTAATATTAACAACACATTTTCAAGTTTTAAGCACAGCAGGAGGAAGCAATCCCAAGATGTACAGTTCTCAACTATTACAAATCTTTGAAGCGCATTTTTCTTCCTAATGTTCAGGTGAAACTAAGTCGTGCAGTGTACTACACTAAACAGGGTAACAAAAAAACTTTTACTTCACCGCTGGAGCCAGGGCTTGAATCTCTAACGTAAGTGGAGACGTGTTGCAATTCCTCACGTCACAGTGTTTTTTTCTCTGAGCAGATCAATATGAGCAAATGTTGTTAAAAATCTTTTGATCGAAAAACATCTAACAATGGTAAGAAGCAATGAATATTAATAAAAGTATTTTATTGTAGGTCACTTGAAAATAGAAGTACTTTTGAATCTACTCACTTCTAGTAAGGCACAAAGGAAGGCTTTCGAGTCCTCTTTCATGGAAGAACTGCACATATTGACTACCTAGGAGGGCTGACTACATCAGGTTTCCCACCTAGAAGACAGCTGCTCCTCTGAACAATGCATAGGCTGAAGAATGCATTGTTTTTGGACCTAAACACCATTTTTTTTTAATTTAAAAAGTATATCCTAGTGTAATAGATGCTTAGAGGGATCTGAATAAAACATAAGAACCTTTCAGTTGTGAGCCAGCTGTGCTCCAGCCACTTCACTTTCCAGTAGAAGTACAGGCTGTACAAAATAATTGCCTGCAAATATACACCACTAGACTTTACAGTAAATCCTATCAAACGCTTTGAGCCATTCACTCCAACATGAAAGGTTTTATAACAAATGCAAGAATCATCATTATTATAAATTATTATTAATGCAATTCACCACAGCTTTCCATACCTGCCATGCTTAATTAAGATGGGAGTTCTTCAGAATGGTTATTGAATGTGGTATACACTTCAACCTGCAATGAAAAACATGCGATATTAATATACATTAAAATACCAGGGATCCTACAATTCTGAAATCTGTCCTTGCAAGAAACACTTCTTGCATTTTCCACTAAATATAAAAATTGTGCGCACGTGTGGGTTTGTGTGCATGTGTTTTTGCACACAGGCATGGAGGGGGGAAAAGTGAGAATCTTCCAATAATTGAGATTACCTTCTGTTGGCAACAATATGGTACATTTCTCCATTAATTTCAGAAAACTTATCACTGCAGCAATTATAGATATCATTGATCCAAAAAAGTCAATTCAAAGCACTAGAGCAACATACTATATTGGGAAAATTTATTTCAGTTCAAGTGTTGGACACAGTCGATAAATGATTGATATTTCCAATAATTTGTTTATGAGGTGAGAAGCTATTCCTACATATAGTTTACCATTTGCTCAGGAGTCCATACAAATAGTGAATTCCACTTGATATATTGTACTTTGTATTCTACACCAGTTAATACAAAATGCTCTCTAATACATCATACTCACTGTCCTGACTCCTAACTGCAGCAGACACTTTAAAAAGCACCAGATTCACGAAAGATTATGAAAGGTTGTTTCTTCTAATTGACTCGCAATAGAGCTGTCCCCTTGCATACAAACTCGAGACTGATGCCTCAATTCTCAATAACCTTAGTTAACCTGTCCTAATTGCTGGAATTGTTGCAGAAATTAGTTGCTTGTGGGTAGGATGAAAAACGACACCTCAAGCAATCTCAAAATTGTTAAGTAATTAGTTTATATATGCATTCTTTAAATGAAACCTCCAGTGTAGGGCCCTAAAATGTTGTATTCTAATGTCCAGCTTTTCTTAAAAAAGAACGATCAAATCAATTTTTTCTTATCTCCCGAAGATCCTGACTTGTTCTGGGTATGGTTGTCGCTTTATGCTACATCCCCAAATATCTATCTTTCAATCCCGACCCTAGACAGCGAATAGCATGAGGCCATTGAGCATTGCATAATTTATTACACATTCCATAATAAAATGAATAAAAGGAATACGCGTGAACTGTCAGGGAAATAACACTTTGCAGTCTAAAGCTGTATGTGTCGTTATTTATTTCCTTTATCGGTCTCTCCAGTCAAACACACTGAACAATGACTGCTTTACAATCAATGCCCAGCATGCATTACCGCAGAGAAAACCTGATGGTCTTGACTTGAAGATATATTTTTGTTATTCTTTTAACATATAGTGACTGTAGGCAAAAATGAAGGACTGTACCTCTGACAATGTCACGCACCCCCATTACTGCATTTGACTGTCAGCCTGGACTGTGATCTAAAAGTCCCCAACATCGGTTTTGAACCTCAACCATCTCACTCAGAAAGAGGAATGCTACCAACTAAAACCGAACAGGAGAAAACAGTTTCAGAAGGCAATCTCAATTAACGGGCAACTCTTTCAGGACCCAAAAGTATACTATTCCATTCCAAGGAGAACTCAACCGCATGGTTTAGACACCAAATGTTTCGAAACAAGCGAATTGACATTTACTCACCCACCCCCCTCTAACTGAAATCTTGGACACTATCTCATCAAACAATCTGGTTTACTTAACCTGCTTTTGCTGTGTCATGATTATCCAACTTAATACAACAAGATTCCATTTATAAAGCGCCTTTCACGTCAGGAGGACGTCCCAAGGCGCTGACTTAATGGTTTTCTCAGTTGAAAAAAAACAAGTTGGGCTGCTTCCCTTCTATAATAATGGCTTATATAAAGACATCATAATGTGCTGATGAGATCATCAACACCCTGTTGATCCTGCTGTGAGTGAAGAGATATTGTTTCCAACAGTAAAACAATTAGGAACAGGTTTACACTTTGCATAGTCTTAATCACATTTGCTGTAACTCAGAACAAGATTTTTTGGTCAGCCAAGTGTGACACATGCAGAAACTCATCACTCTGCTTAAAGAGTATCCAAACCAAACTCATGATCGTGTTGGGTTTCCACACTTGGAAGACACTCAGCTGACCAAAAAGGTGAGATCATTAATGTCCGTTTGATCCTGCTATAAAAGAGAAGAGATTGTTTCCAACAGAAACACAATTATGAACCTTAAGATTTTTATATTGTTAAAAAGCCTACAGACACAGTCATTAGATTTACCAGTAATTTCTTGTGAAGAGACATAAGCTCCTGTAAAAAATACAACTTATTTATTTCAGTCACAGACCAAGTTCTTAACAGTTTACAAATAGGTCTTAGTGCAAGACCCTTAAAGCGACCATTTCTCATCACAGAACTCAAATTGATTTGAACCCACTGCATCTTTTACAGAGTCAGCGAGCTGACAGTCGTATCTTGAAGTGTATGGCTAAGAATGAATGTCTATGACTGAAAATGTGAGGCAAATGCTTTCTACACTCCAGCCTTGAAAACAGGAAATCTCAATCAAGAGACTGACCTTTTTATTCAAAAAAACAAACTTTGGAAACTTTCACTTTTTCTATAGCTCCTTATCACATCGTCAAGACATCTAAAATGCATAACCGGATATACTGTAAAGTAATGTGACCTGTGTTTATTTTGTAGGTGAACATGGCAGCCAATTTGCACAAAGCAATGTCCCAAAACAGCCATAGAGGGAGTGATTTTATTTTGGCTGAATTGTTGGCCAAGACACTGAGATAAACTCCATTCTTTTTTCAAATAATACCATTAATATCAAGCTAGACAGGCAGATGGGACCTCGGTTTAATGTCTCAATTGAAGGACGGAACCTCCGAAAATGAAACACAGACCATAACTTCATTGGAGCGTCAGCATACACTATATGCGTTCCAAATCCCATCATGGGTGAAATAAAACCCTTTAAAAAATAATTTGGTCACTCAATCCACAACTGTTTTGGGGATACTGCTGTGACAATTAGCTGCCGCGTTTCGCCCACAAAATAGTCACTAAACTTTACAGTATATTCTGTGAAGAACTTTGAGACATCTGGATGACATGATAGGCACGATATCAAAATCCAAGAATAATTATTATTAACCTTCTGACCCAGAGACAAGAGTGCCAGGCTGACAGAGATGCTGAGTAGAATCATATATTTTTTAAAAATAACCCTTTAAAGACAGCTGTAATATTTGCAAGCTGTGATTTTTTTAAGAATTCTTGTAAAGAACTTTAGTATAGTCAATTTGGCATAAAATGTGGATGCTGACATTGTATCACTATGATAAAAAATGTCTCCAAAAGTAGACAACATGATTGACTTCCGACAGATATGTCAAACTTAGCTCATTGCCAGCTTTAAAGTGAGTTAGTCGAATCCAATTAGGCAAACCAAGTGCAATGAAGCACTGAAATATGATTTTAATCTTTTGTGTCTTCACTGCATTCATCAATTGCCTAAAACTATAATCTACATATCCATATTGCTGTGACTTGAGACAGTTCTACACCTCTTCATGTATACCCACGATATGGCTCACTTTGCCTCAGAGTGTATTGGGTGGCCTCTGTGTTCAATTATCACTAATCAATGCAAGTCCCTATAAATAAGTGTAACTTGACTAATGAGTGCTTACACTCATTTTTTTTTCTTGTTTTTTTACTTTTTGTTTTGTGGAGTCCTGTAGCTCAGTGGTTAGAGCACTCGCTTTGCAAGTGAGAGACCTGAGTTCAATTCCAGGCAGAGGGCGAAACCTTGGGCAAGTTTCCTTACTCCACACAGAGCCTAATAATAATCCCTCCTAAACAAAACAATAATAAATTGGTCATTTTCAATCTATGACTGTTTGTGGAACATTGCTGTGCGCAATTGGCTGCCATGTTCGCCCACAAATATACAGTCAATTCACTTTACAGTGTGTTCTGTGAAGCGCTTTGGGACTTCCTCCCGACGTGAAAAGCACTATATAAAATGCAAGGATTATTATTATTACACAACAACAGGTGCTACCAATTGCTATTTGAATTGAGGTAAATTGGGAAACTTTATTCAATCAGAGGTTTATTTTCGAATATCTCTATGACCTAGGCTGAACCTGTTTGTGTATTCCCTCCTTTGATTTATACAGAAAGCTCAAGAAAGCATAGTCAAGTAAACTCAACCAACTTTATTGTAGTTTCGATGAAATCCACAACCCTCGGCATTAAATCTTAAATGACATGATAAATATCAACAAACACAACTATGAAATAACAAGCATCAATCACACTTAAACTACACACGCTAGCAGCCACTTGTAATGAAGTTAATGTAAAGTGCACAAAGAACCAACCTCCGACTCATCAATAGTCAATGTACCTTTTGTTGTCATCAGATAGAAAAAGCAACCAAAAGCAACCAAGATTGAGCCCCTCCCCAGATTAGGGTACCCTAAGCGAAAACATAAACTTTACAGAACATATTTTAAACGACAGACAGGCATAGAAAACGAAGGGGTGACCATGACAAACTTAACTCAGACTTCACAAAAGAGCTTAAATTAGTCAAAATAGATATATAACCAAACTGTTTTCTTAAAGATTTGTAATTTTTCAGAACAAGTGGAGGGAGGGGGAAATCCACTTCCCCCACCAAACAGCCTTTCCCCACCTCCTTTTCAGTACAGTAGCACCCACACTGTGGGCACCCAAGAAATTGGTTCAAATTGGCTGCAACAGGGAGGTTTCTTATCTATTGGCCCACAAAATGTTACAGTACTGTAAATCCTGTGAAGTGCTTTCATTCCTGATATGAAAGGCGTTATACCAAATTCAAGGATTATTATTATTAAAGAAGCCGACTGTTGAAAATGGTGACTATTTACTTTGATGTTTTATTACAAATATAAACAGTAAGGTAATTGCTTTATTTGATGATGTTGATATTTACGGTGCTATCTGAAAAGTAAATAAATCAACAATAACAACAAGATTACATTTGTATAGTGCCTTTCACGTCGGGAGGACGTCCCAAGGCGCTTTCAGACCTGAGCTGGGGTCAGGGGAAGGGGGGGG